CACATTTTAAAACAAAAAATAACCACCACTACCAGAAAATCAAACTGTATGAAAGTCCAACAACCAAGGAGTTAAAGAAGAAACATTCGTCCAGACTGGTAAGAGGGGCAGAGACAGGCAGCCAAGACAGAGGATGCATGGCAAGGCAGCATCTGGGGGACCAGGTGGTCCCACATTTGTGTGCAGATAAACTAGAAAAAACAACTGGGTAGTGAGACAGGATGCACAACCCAGGGTTCCAGCACAGGAAAAGAAAGCCTCCAAATCTCTGGCTATAAAAACCTATGGAAATTGCAGCAATGGGAGAAACTCCTAGCCTCACAAGAGAGTTTGTTGGAGAGACCCACAGTGTTCTGAAATGTACAAGCCCACCCACTAAGGAATCAGCACCAGAGGGGCCTAATTTGCTTTTGGGCAGTGAGGAAGTGACCAAAACCTGGTGGAAAGCTGAGAAGGTGACACTGTTCCCTTTCAAACCCTCACCTATATATGGCGCCACAACACAGCAACGTGGGTTGCCCTGCCCTGACCAATATCCAAGGCTCTGTGCCTCTTACAACATAACATGTGTGAAGACAAAAAAATATGGCCCAAATGATCAAAGCTCCTATCAATGAAGAGATAGCAAACCTATCAGATGCACAGTTCAAAACACTGGTAATCAGGATGCTCGCAAAAATGGTTGAGTATGATAGCAAAATACAGGAAAAAGTGAAGACTATGCGAAGTGAAATAAAGAAAAATATATATAGGGAACCAACAGTGAAGGAAAGGAAATTGGAACTCAAATCAACGATTTGGACCATAAGGCAGAAATAAACATTCAGTCAGAACAGAGTGAAAAAACAAGAATTCAAAAAAATGAGGAGAGGCTTAGGAACCTCTAAGAGAACTTTAAACATTCCAACATCTGAGTCATTGGGGTGCCAGAAGGAAGAGAGGAAGAGCAAGAAATTAAAAACTTATTTGAAAAAATAATGGAGAACTTCCCAAATCTGGCAAAGAAATAGACTTCTAGGAAGTCCACATAGCTCAGAGAGTCCCAAAGAAGTGGAACCCAAGAAAGCACACACCAAGGCACATCATAATTACATTAGCTGAGATTAAAGATAATAGAATCTTATAAGCAGCAAAAGAAAAGGAGACAGTTATCTACAAAGTAGTTCCCATGAGACTGTCAGTCGATTTCTCAAAAGAAACCTTGCAGGCAAGAAAGGGCTGAAAAGAAGCTTTCCAAGTCATGAAAGTCAAGGACCTACACCCAAGATTACTCTGTCCAGCAAAGCTATCATTTAGAATGGAAGGGCAGATAAAGTGTTTCCCAGATAAAGTCAAGTCAAAGGAGTTTATCATCACCAAGCCCTTATTATATGAAATGTTAAAGAGACTTATCTAAGAAAAAGAAGATGATCAAAACAGTAAAATGACAACTCACAACTATTAACAAATGAACCTAAAAAAACAAAAGCAAACAACCAGAACAGGAATACAATCACAAAAAAGGAGATCACATGGAGGGTTACTGGCAGGGAAAGAAAGGAGAATGGGGGAAAAGGTACAGGGAATAAGAAGCATAAATGGTAGGTACAAAATAGACAGGAGGAGATTAAGAATAGTATAGGAACTGGAGAAGCCAAAGAACTTACGTGTATGACCCATAGACATGAACTAAGGGGGCATGGGAAATGTTGGTAGGCAGGGGAATGCAGGGTGGAGGAGAATAAAGGGGGAAAAATAGGACAACTGTAATAGCATAATCAATAAAATACATTTAAAAAAATAATCCTGAAACACCAATTCAGAAGAACTTAATGTTCATAGCAACAACATTTACAACAGCCAAGTGCTAGAAGCAACCTAAGAGCCCATCAGTAAATGAGTGGATCAAAAAACTATGGTACAGCCCTGGCTGGTGTAGCTCAGTGGATTGAGTGTGGGCCTGTGAAGCAAAGGATCACGGTTTGATTCCTAGTCAGGGCACATGCCTGGGTTGCAGGCCAGTTCCCAGTGGGGGACACATGAGAGGCAACCACACATTGATACTTCTCTCCCTCTCTCCTTCTGATCCCCTCTTCTCTGAAAATAAATAAATAAAATATTAAAAAAAAAACTATGGTACATTTACACCATGGAATACCATGCAGCAGAAAGAAAGAAGGAGCTCCTACCCTTTGCAACAGCAAGGATGGAACTGGAGAGCATTATGCTGAGTGAAATAAGCCAGGTGTTGAAAGACAAATACCATATGATCTCACTTTTAACAGGAACTAAACAACAAAACAAGCAAGCAAGCAAAATACAACTAGAGACATTGAAATAAAGAACAAACTGACAGTAACCAGAGGGCAGTGGAGAGGAGGATAATGGGGGAAAGAAGGGGAAGGGTCATCAAGGAACATGCATAAAGGACCCATGGACAAAAACAAAGGGGTATAGGATTGAGGGTGGGATGGGGGAAAGTGGAGGTAGGAAAATGAGGGCAACTGTAATTGGACAACAATAAAAATAAATTAAAAAAATATATATGTATAAATACATAAATAAAAAAGAAAAACCTAATCCCAAAGGTTATGATTATTCAGATAACATTCTTGAAGTGACAGAATTATAGAAATGGAGAACAGATTAGTGATTGCCAGGGGTTACAGAGGGGGTTGGGATGGGCGAGAAGTGGGTGTGACTATAAAAGGGTGATATGAGGGGTCCTTATACAGATGGCAATGTTCTATATCTTCACTGTATTGATGTTAATACCTGGGTTGTGGCAGTGTACTACAGTTTTGCAAGCTCTTACTATTAGGAGATACCAGGTGAAGGGTACCTGGGATCTCTCATTATTTCTTACAACTACATGTGAACCTATCTCAAAATAAAAAGTTTTATTAAAAAGAAAACAAAATAATACTCAATGTAAGCTCTAATTAAGAATATTTAAATATTAAAAAAAATAAAAAGACCACTCCCTTCAGTCTTTCATGGGCTTTCCTTGACAGCCCCTTCTTTCATTCTATACTCTCCCTGGCCTAACCTCGATCCTCTGCTCCAGCTGCGCACTGCCACATCCACCTACAGGTGCCACTTTCAACATTGAAAGCACTGTCTTCTCCCCAGACCCACTCTGCCTCCCATGTTCTTCATCTGGGCAAAAGGCACCACCATCCAGCTAGTTCCCCAGTCAGTACCACTGGAGTCACCCTGAACCCCTCTACTGCCCAACCCAGTGAGTGATGGATGGCCATGTTCTGTTGACTCCTTCTACGGAGTCTCTCTCCCTCCAGCCCTGATCTGCATCCTCACTGCCCTAGTTCAGGCCTAACTATTGCAACCTCATCTTGCAGCTCTCCCCGCCTCCTGTCCCCTCCCCATTAATTCATTCTCCTCAGGGAAGCCAGAGTCCTGAGACGTAAGTCTACTCATGCCATTCTTCTGGTCAACATTTCTCAATGGCTCCTCATCCCAAAATAAAATCCTGACTCTCAAGATGGCACTTAAGGCCTCCTCCCTAGTTCATGCTCCACCTATGCTAAATGGCTCATATTTCCCCAAACATGATGGGCTTTCCTTTGCCTTTTCACAAGCCACTCACTTAGCCAGGCAAGCCTTCCCTACTCCCCTGTTCTTATGGCAAAACTCAACTCTTCCCTCAGATGTTAGCAAAGGTATCACCGCCTCTAGGAAGTCTCCCTTGATTTCTCCTCTAAGTTGTCATCACAGGAACTGCAATCCTCATGCTACCTGCAATCTCCCAGAGGCTGGGTCCAGACTTACTCTGAGTTGGAGCACCAGCACAAGCTAGGACTGAAAGCTGTGGTCTTTCTGCCTCTTAGCTTATGTTATTCCCTCTGCTCATCTATAACCTGCAGTCCTCCAAGCCCAGCTAATTTCATGCTTTTCCCAGGAAGCACTGCCTACTTCTCCTCATCAATCACTCTTTCTTGTATGGCTCTGAATGGCAAGCTAGGCAGTGCTGTCGTTATCGAGTAGACTAGTAGCAATGAATTTTTTTTACTGTGACTATAGTAAGAAAGACATTTCTCATCATGTTCCAGTACACATATACATTATAATATACTAGATATAAATATATCTACAAATACGTAAAAGCATATTTTTAATATATAGTATAATATATTTCTGTCTATTTAATACTGGCATATTATATCATTAAATCATATATTTGATATTGATTATATTACATATTTAATATATAAGTACATATTTATATATAGCTGAAACAAAATGTATTAACTACATGCAATATACTCTGAGATTTTCTATTTCACTCCACTTCTTTCTTTATTTAATGCTGGTAATGATACACTGAATTAAACTCCCAGCCCACAAACTGGTCCCCACCTACCACTTGAATGAAGCCTCCACTATAGCCTGTAGGGATCACTCAGGGCTTCCGGCAGGGGAGCAATGTGATAGTGATAGGAGGGTGGGTTGGACAGTGCTTCTCAAATGTTCTAAGGGAAAGCACCAATTTTGTAAATTTCCAATCTGTCATGTATTTTACTTTTTAAAAGTACAATAAGAATGAATTATTAGAAAATAAAATAACAATGATATATTTTAAATGCAAGCCCCAATTCATACATTAGCTTCAGCAGACACTGTGGAGCAGTGATAGGAATGTGCTGGGAGGCAGACACCAGACAGGGGCCAGAAGCGTTAGGTGGCTTTGACAGCCCTTCAGGTGCCCTCAAATCCTTGACATGTGGTCACACTTCTCATTCCAATCTCTCCTAGAGCAATTCCAATGTCCATGGTCTGAGGGGCTTTGCTGAGGACAAAGGGGGTGCTGTGCAGGCTCCTGCCCTGTCAACTGAGCTGGGCTGAGTTGGCATCCTGACTGAGTCACCAACTGGCTGTGCGCTGGGGATAAAGGACTAACCTCTTCAAGCCTCCATTTCCTCCTAGGATTGTCTCAGGAGATTAATAAAGCAAATCCTTACTGCAGGGCTTGGCCTGGGGCCAGAACCTCACTGACACCCTACCTTTTAGCTCTGCTGGTTCTGGTGCTGTTGTTGCCTCCCGTCTTTCGGAGTCAGCCTTGTCTTCATAGGTCCCTTCTCCTTGCCTCTCACCCACCTCAGCAGCTAACTTCTCTGCTTCTCACTCTCAAAAGATGGCTGGCATCCTACATAGCAGAGAAAATGCTACATATATAAATGTGTTATAAATTTTATCAACATAAAGGATGTTTAGCAATTTACAAATAATAAAATATACAGTATTCTTTATTGTAAACTGCATAGAGCAAATTGAGTTTTACAAAGGCTTTCATTGATTTTTAGCGACCTGCTGAATCCGTAACCAACAAATAATTGTAATTGACATATGGGTGTAGTCTCTATGTGAATGCTGGTTGAAATTTTTGTTTGTGCCAACTAATAAGAAAAAAGTGACACAATGAAGATACATGTTGGAACTTCACTCATTTGTCAATGATGTGAGCAACTTCTTCACTGAATGAAATCATAGCTCCTGGATGCTAAGAGAACTTTTGCTCATTTTTCTGTGCCATTCACAAAGTAATGGCTAAAGGCACAATATATTTAAATTTAATGTGCATTATTAACATTTTCTCTATAACTTTCTTAAGTCTAGACAGTCAACAAAAAATAAAATAAGCCCTGATTTGTAGGGTTTGCCAACTTCCATGGTGTAAATATTTACACCATGGCTGATTTCAAGCAATTAATATTATGTCACTGAATGCAGAGTTGGGAAGAAAAGCACAATAACAAATGGCATAGTATTTCCACAGACACAATAGGTAAACATAGTCTTAAAAGCATAAATAATAAAATATTGCAAAATTCTTAGGAAATAATATACTTTAAGGATGTATCTTTGTTTTTAATATAATTTACCTAATTGTAATTTTATACAACTTAATTTTTTCTTTTTCAAAAAATATATTTTATTGATTATGCCATTACAGTTGTCCCATTCCCCTCTTCATTCCCCTCCACCCTGCACACCCCCTCTCCCACCATTCCCCCCTTTAGTTTATGTCCATGTGTCACAAGTTCTTTAGATTTTATATTTCCCATACTATTCTTGCCCTTCTTCTTGTCTATTTTCTCCCCACTGTCTATGCTACTTATTCTCTGTACCTTCTCCCCGCTTCTCCTCCTCCCACTCCCCTGTTGCTAACCCTCTATGTGATCTCCATTTCTATGGTTCTGCTCCTGGTCTAGCTGTCCCCTTAGTTTGCTTTTGTTTTAGGTGTGGTTCTTAATAACTGTGAGTTTGCTGTCCTTTCACTGTTCATATTTTTTATCTTCTTTTTCTTAGATAGGTCCCTTTAACATTTCATATAATAAGGGCTTGGTGATGATGAACTCCTTGAATTTGGTCTTATCTGAGAAGCACTTTGTCTGCCCTTCCATTCTAAATGAAAGCTTTGCTGGATAGATCAATCTTGGATGTAGGTCTTTGGATTTCATGACTTGGCATACTTCTTTCCAGCCCCTTCTTGCCTGTAAGGTCTCTTTTGAGAAATCCGCTGACAGTCTGATGCGAACTCCTTTGTAGGTGACTGTCCCCTTATCTCTTGCTGCTTCTAGGATTCTCTCCTTCATTTTAATCTTGGCTAATGTAATGATGATATGCCTTGGTGTGTTCCTTCTTGGGTCCAACTTCTTTGGGACTCTCTGAGCTTCCTGGATTTCCTGGAAGTCTATTTCCTTTGCCAGATGGGGAAAGTTCTCCTTTATTATTTGTTCAAATAAGTTTTCCACTCGTGGCTGTACCTCTTTCCCTTCTGGTACCCCTATAATTCAGATGTTGGAATGTTTAAAGATGTCCTGGAGGCTCCTAAGCCTCTCCTCATTTTTTTGAATTCTTGTTTCTTCATCCTTTTCTGTTTGGTCATTTTTTTTTCCCTTCTGGTCCACTCCCTTGATTTGAGTCCCAGTTTCTTTTCCATTACTATTGGTTTCCTGTGCATTTCCCTTCATTTCAATTAGTTTAGCCTGCATTTGTTCCTCTAATTTGTGACTGAAATCAACCAGTTCTGTGAGCATCCTGATGACCAGTGTTTTGAACTGTGCATCTGATAGGTTGGCTATCTCTTGGTTGCTTATATACAACTTAATTTTAAATAGCTATCTTTAATTACTGAATAATAAAACTCTTCAAAATTTAACCATCAGCTCTTAGGAGCTAGTCTGATCTGAGCATACCTGGATTGGACCCCCCACTCCCAGCTATGCTTTGATTGGGGCCCTGAAAAAGCTCTCCAAACCTGATGGCCCCTTCCAAAGGACATTTTTCAGGTCTTATCTTAAAAGCAAAACTGAACTCATGTTCTTGCTCTCAAACCTGCTCCTCTCCAGGCTGCCATCTTGGTGAATGAAGGGCTTCCCCATCCACCCAACAACCCAAGCCAGACTACACAGCGTCACCACCTTGCCACCTTCACACCTCCTCTAGCACCAGGTCACTTCCTCTCAACTTTGCCCCTGCGGTCTGTCCCCTGGCTTGCTCAGTATCACACCCCCATCACCTCCTCCCCAGATCCCCCATAGCCTGGCACTGCCTTCCTTCCTCATGGCATCTAAAGCACTCATCATGTCCTACCCAGTTGTAAACTAGGCAAAGTCAGGCTTCTCAGAGCCCAGCAGTCACTGTCCCCTCTCCAGAGTCATCTGGGGCATGTCCTGCACACTTGATCTCTGCTCCAGCTGTAGAACTAGCTACAGTTTCCCTAACACATCCCACTTTCCCAGACCTCCATCCCTTGTGCATGCCTGTCCCTGGAATGCCCTTCTCCACTCAAATTCCTGTTTCACAAATTCTTAGTGCTTCTTTGGACTCACCTCAAGTGTTAGCACCCTGTGAGCACCCCAACCCCAGACAGAATTCATTTATTTGCTCATTTATGCATGACTTCATTACTAATATTTGTTTAGTGCCAAGTGTGTGCCGGGGTCTGTGCTGTAGATGCTGGGGATGCCAAAATGAGCCTGGCTCTGAGACAGTTCTCGATCTAACAGGGAACAAAGCAAGGGCAACCAGCCCCCTGGTAGACAGAGCCCTGCAAAAGGTGCTCGAGAAAAGCAGAAGGGGGGACACCCTTACTTGGGCTCCTGGGGCTTACAGCCCTTGATCTGATCTTTAATGGATGGGTAGAAGTTAGCCAGGTAAGGGATGGGGAGAATGCTCCAGGCAGAGAGGAGCAGGTGCAAAGGCCCCGAGGCATGAGAATGCTGTGTTAGGAGCTATGGGTGATTCAGTTTGGCTAGTCCTTGAGGGTCAAAAGGGAGGCAAGACTAGATCCACAGGGTTTTTAATTGGCAAAAGCCAATTAAATTTGGAAAAAGCCAAAATGGTGATACTGGCAGTGGGACAGAAGTCTTCCTGCTCCAGAATCACAGGCCTTTAAGATAGCTTAATTTGAGAAATATAATGGAGAGATACAGGATGAGAAGCAACATGCTGGGTTGAGAGATCGGATTGGGCAGCGCAGTTAAGAATGCTATGGGCCACCTTCAGTAGTAGTGCTGAGGGAAGGAGCACAGAGTTTGGGAGCAAGTGTAGGTGTGGAATCAGTAGTACCCGGTACCCATCTAGAAGGGAAAGGGCAGTCCCACCTTCTGGCCTGAGTGACTTGGAGGACGATGGTGGTTCTCTCTGGAGTGGAAACCCTGAGGTGTGGCTTTGTGGGTGACCATGAGTTTATCTAGGGACATGCTAGTTTTGAGGAACCCATGGAAACATCCCCTCGCCCATTGGAATCCACACTTCAGGAAAAATTACTGGCTAAAAGATGGACTTTGGAAGTCATCAGCAAGTCAGTATTTGGGAATCACCTCCCTCATGGAGGGCAGGAGTTGACTGAGAGGAGGGGAGGATCCCAGAGAAGCCCTGTGGAATGCTGGTTTATAAGAGGCCGGCTGTGGGTGAGGAGGCAAGCAGTGAGGGACAAAGAAGGCAAAGAGCAGTCTGGGGTCCCAAAAGAAGAGAGAGAAGAGTGGTTCAGGGAGGAGAGGGTGCTTAGCACAGATCAAATGAGGCAAAGATTGAGAAGTACCCAAGGATTTTAGAAATTTGGGGTTCACTGGTAGCCCTGGTGACACTGGGTGAAGGAAGAGTGGATGGCAAGGAAAAGCGCAGGACAGTGAAGGGAAGGAGGAGCCTGGGAGCTGGGATGACAGCTACCAGAGGAATGGGGGCCTGATGGGGACAAACAAGGGAGCCAATCCGCAGCCCAGCTGAAATATCAGCCTTGGGCTGGGGGAAGAACTGCCTTTACAGAGATGTGCCAGGATGCAAGGGTGGAATCCAGGCAGGGAATATTCAGAGTGACAAACCAGGAAGGTGGGTACCAGTGCAGATTCTCTGGAAGGCAGATGCCAAATGGAGTTAGAAGTACAAGAGATTTAGTGGGGTGGTGACACCTGTGAAAGAGAGGGAGAGGGAGCTGGAGGAGGCAGAGAAGGCTTTCACATGGAGAGCAAGCAGGAGAACGGGCAGGCAGAGCCTCAGACTTGGGGCAGAAGTGGCCGAGCCCTCACACCCCTGCGATGCTCACCGCTGGCTGCAGCTGGGGGCTGCCAGCTGACCATGCTTCCCCCAACCTACCAGCTTCCCTCTGACAGGGAGGACTGAGCAGCACCCCTCCATGGCTGCCACAGCAGGGTTCTCCCCACCTGGTAACTTCTGATTGCTCAGAGAAGTGGGATTTGGGATGTTTGCCTGAAGTGTGCTGGAGAAGTTATGGAGTAGATGACTGCAAAAGAGGCTTGGAGGAATTCGAGGGAAAGGGGAAAGACTGATGCTGGCTGGCTGAGGCTTGGTTGTGATTGGAGGCCTGGTTTATAGCAGCTCCATTCCCCTTGCTGGGGAGATGAGGGTAGCAGGAGGTTGATCTGACCCAGACCTGGGATGTCCTAGCCTGGTCAGGGACAGTGGAAGGACAGAAGAGAGATGATTGGCAGGTTTGGGGAAGATGTGTCTGATGTGAGGAAAAGGGGCCTTCAGGAGAGGGAGGTGAGGACAGGCTAAAGAGGAGGGTATAGGGAACCTCCAGATCAAGTGCAGGGGTGGTGGAAGTTGCGGATGAAAACTCTGGAAAGGAATATGCTGGGATCACAAAGTGGGGATTCTGGAATTGATTTAGAGCTAAGG